ATTTCCTTGTCATTTCTCAGCTAATCATCCTCACCTGCTTAGTAGTTCCCAATCAGTTCCCTTCCCAGGTGTTGTTCATTTCCTCATTCCCTCTGTTGTATATATATTCTGGTTCAGTACTCACACCCTCACTGGTTCATTGTTTGACATCTTCAACTGTTTTGGTTCTCCCCGTCGTCTCCTCGTGTTTTCAGTTTTGTTTTGCTGCCCAGTCAGCTATTTATTTTGTTAATAAATCCTTTTATATTAAACTTCATCCCCCGTCTGGATCTGGACTCATTCTGCACTGCAAACCACAACAGAATGAACCAGCCACACCACGAGTCCACCGGGAGGATGAAAGTTTTGGATTTTTTCAGAAAAGAAAACCTTTATGCACCGCTCAGCAAATAGGGTAACAGTCCAAATCGAAGTGCGGCCAGGATTAAGCAGGTCCAGCAGTCGACTACCATCAGAATTGGTGGTTTTCAAATGAATCATGCTCAGCCCACCCGGAGATGTGACCGCCAGGAACCAAAGATCGAGGTCTTTCCATCACCTCTCCTCGTGGATGAAGAAGTCGAGGGCACAATTCTGGGGGACTCGCCTGGTGATGAAGCCCGCTCCATCCAGCTCCTCGCAGCGCCACCATCGCCGGCAGAGAAGGGTGGCGGCCCCTCTTGACAGCGAGCCCAAGTTCAACCAGGACTTTGATCCTGAACTTGACCCAGATTGCCCCGAATACTTCGGCTATTGCTCTCCTGGGCCGATGATTTTCTCTTCTCCAGTGACACTGCCTCTTCCAACGTCTCCTCTGAGACGGTGCCGCCTCCTCCAGTGCCACCCCTGAGGAAGTCCCGGACGTCTCCCCCTTTCGTGCCTCCTCTGAGAGGATCTCTGAGATCTAGCGCTGCCCGCGTTCTGGCAAGGATCGATGCCTCTATCTCCTGCGCTCTTGGCACCTCCGGGAGGATTGATACCTCTTCCTCTTGCATACTGTGCGCACCCGAGATGACCGACGCCTCCACTGCCACCAGCGTTCCGGCGAGGGTCGACGCGTCCACCTCCTGTGAGGAGGGTCTTAGTAGGGAGGGAGTGGTGGTGACTACCCGGGCTGCTCTGGCAGTATTTGTGGCTGCAGCTCTGGTAGAGATGATGTCCACATCTGCTGTTGCTGAGTCAGCCTGTGAGTTCCCGAAGCCAGAGCCAGAACCTGAGCCAGCACCTGAGACTGCAGAGCTCCCGGGTTGTATTGTGATGTCCCCAGGTCAGCCTGAGCCTACTAAGTCCCCRGATCTGATTGTGATGTCCCCGGTTCAGTTTGAGGCTCCCAAGGACTCTACGCCGGTCTCTGCTCCAGCTGAGTCCTCATCGCCAGCTGCAGTTTCACCTGTGMTCTCATCTTCTTCGTCTGGTCCTGCTTCATCTTCATCAGCACTGTCATCAGCTGTAGCTTCAGAGAAAACATTTTGGTTGCTGCAGTGCTTGGTTTTGTACCACCCCCATCATTACCACCATCTCCAGGACCGGCTTCTCCAGAGTCTCCTGAGCTGGCCCCTCCAGAGTCTCCTGAGCCGGACCCTCCAGAGTCTCCTCAGCCAGCACCTCCAGAATACCTCCAAGGCCTGACTTCGGGCCGTCCTCCAGAGCTCCATCCTCACCATGGCAGAGCTCCAGGTTGCCCACCAGAGTTCCATTCCCGCAGTGGCCGGGCTCAAAGCCGTCCACCTGAGCTTCACCACCGACGCAGTCAAGTCCACGGCCGCCCTCCAGAGCTCCGCCTTCGCTGCGGCCGAGTTCACATCCGTCCTCCTGAGCTCTGCCTCTGACAATGTCGAATCCACGGCCGTCCTCCTGAGCTCCGCCTTTGCTGTGGCTAAGTCCACGGTCACCGTCCAAAACTCCGCGGTAGCCGTGCCCATGGTCGTCCACCAGAACTTTTTCCTCACCTGTGTTGGGTTCCTGGGTGCCCACCTGAACTTTTTGGACCCTTCAGATGCGCCTAGGGCCATCTTTGTGACTTTTTTGGTTTGTTTTTGTTGTTTTTTCCCCCAGGGCTCACCTGTCGGTTTTTGGTTTCGTTTTCTGTGTTTTTTTTTGTGTTTCCCTTGTTGTATTTTGTTTCGTGCCCTCTGTCCTGTCTTTGTGTTTCGTACCCCCCACCTCCCATCCATGCTTGTCTATTAATCGTCAGAGATGATTCGTTGAGGGGGAGGTACTGTGAGGATGTGTGTTTTGTTGTTTTTGTGTTTTCTCTGTGTTTCCACCCTTCAGTTATCCTCAGCATATTTCCTTGTCATTTCTCAGCTAATCATCCTCACCTGCTTAGTAGTTCCCAATCAGTTCCCTTCCCAGGTGTTGTTCATTTCCTCATTCCCTCTGTTGTATATATTCTGGTTCAGTACTCACACCCTCACTGGTTCATTGTTCGATGTCTTCAACTGTTTTGGTTCTCCCCGTCTTCTCCTCGTGTTTTCAGTTTTGTTTTGCTGCCCAGTCAGCAATTTATTTTGTTAATAAATCCTTTTATATTAAACTTCATCCCCGGTCCAAACATAGAAACTCCAGGAACCACAAGTAAACCTGCAGTCTGAGAGTGAAGTGCTCTGTTAGGAAAGTATGGAAC